TAGATAGATAGATAGATAGATAGATAGATAGATAGATAGATAGATAGATAGATAGCATTTCCCAGCTCAACAGCAAGCTCTATGCGCTTTAAATTCTAAACTATTACCCCAGCAGACCTGAGAGCATTCTGAAACAACCTCAACTTCCTGGGAAGCCTACAGTGCAAGCGGCCATTTATAGGCGCTAAACACTAACATACTGACAAGATCTTTGACAACAACTTTAATTGGCGGTATTCTCAAAGGAGAGGACAAACTTTTAGACGTGTTATAAGCTTGCGTGTTTTTTCTTTAGATTGTGTTTTAGTAAAAGATTTAAGGCACTTTCAAAACAGTAAGTCTTACAAAGTGCCGAAGATTGTGTTACTAGAGAGTGACAAAGAAACGGATGAGGGGAGATTAAGGATGATAGATGTTTGATAGGAAAGACGGAGCTGCGTGTGTAATGTTTAAAAAAATAATAAAGCGTCCTACATAAATATACTATAAGCATCATAATTTTTTTTAATGCCAAAAGCCACAGATTGGTTTGGAAACCACCTTCCAATCAAAAAGTGAATCAGGAAAAGTCAGTCTCAGTAACGATTAAATAGTTATCCTACGGTCGCGGGAGTTTCTGTTCTATTCTGGGAGTTGAGAACACCTTCACCGAAGAGAACGGTCCCATGATACGATCCCATGATATATCCCTGTCCCATGGTACTATCCCATGACTCTGTCCCATTTTACGATAGCATTGTTGTTGTGGGTCGTTGCTCTCGCTTACCTCCATCTATGTGCAGCACCACTGACAGATTACCGGGTCAACGCCATGAACCATTGAGCGGTGTCTGTGAAACCCTGCAGTAGCTCATAGCTCAGCGAGTTCATCCTCGAGCGAGTCAAGAGCAGGGATCTCGCAACCCCCACTCCCTCAGACATATAATATTAAAAATATGTTTAAAAACATAAAATCCAACAACCAAAGTTGAACAATATCCAGATAACGATTCGAGGCAGGGTTTAACTACACTGTTGTCCACGGTGATTTCACCTGAATACCCTTGTGTATGGAGGGCACCACTTGTAGATCCTACTAATATTTCTTTCCCCCGGTTGTTTCTGTTTGTCTGCCTTACTTTTCCCCAGGACTAAATGACTATTATTGTGTCGATGTGCTTCTATTTACTCAGATGAACAAACAAACAAACAATTTATTTCTTCGCTCTCCCACGTCAAAGATCTATCGTCTTATTATCACCCCTCTTTCTTTTCGGTGTATGCTATTCTTTTGAAAGGCTTTTAATCTTCGGCACTTATAAGACCTGTTTGTGTTGCAAGTGCCGTAAAACTCTTACAAAAACGTAAGAAAACAACAACAAACCTGATATCTCCCACATTAAGACAAACACTAGATCTAATACGATTTTTTTTGTGTTTTTGACTTGAAAAAATCTATATCCAGATTTGGGCTAGAAATAATGTTAGACCATTATACTGCAAGTTCCACAAGTTCCCAAAGCATAGAAAACACTACTATAAATATACAAATTTTATATTTTGTAACCTAAGGGTAATCTTTTCGGATATTTAAAAAAAATGACGACACCAACAGCATTTTGTTGCCAGTAACGTTGAGTGTGTGTAAAACGCTGATGTTACAAAAGGATCTCTCCGAGGCTCGCAAGTGAGATGCAGACAAGTCGAGACGCTAAGATTAACCCAGGATTACCCTGTCGCTCTACTAAGACCCCCCTGTCTACGTCACATTAACTTTTTCAAATACCCTTGTTGGAAATTCTACTTTATCTTTTTGTTCAACTACAATGCCGTGCACTCGTTCTTCAGTTCAGAGTAAACGACTTTATTAGTTGCCTTAACGTGAGAAATATTATCTTTAACAGAGTTTTTAAACTTTTTTTTTTCTTGAGGGGAAGGAAAGGGGGGGGGGGGTAGGATAGGTAGATAGATAGATAGATAGATAGATAGATAGATAGATAGCGGGGGGGGGGTAGTTACCCTGATAAATGTTGGTTGGTTTTTTTTCGACTACTGTACGCGCCTGTCTTACAGTTTACAGGATAAACTAATCCACCTTATCGCTGTTAAAGGAAGGAACATTTTACTTCCTGGCGAATGCTTAACATAAAGACATAAAGTATGATGTGTATCCAGCGTTTCAATGTTGTCGCATCTTTAACATAGGTTATTTTGACTACGTTTCTTTTTTTTTTTGGTGGGGGTTCGGGGGTGGGGGGGTGGGTGGAGGGTGTTACCCAGATGAACGTTTTCTTTTTTTTTCAAAAACCTTTCGCTCTTATTTTGAAGTTTAAAATATAGACAAATCCAACCCACCCTCTGTTGGAGGAAAGTTGTAACTATTTTGTGAATGTTTAACCTGAAGTACATGTATTACCGGCGTTTCAATTTTGTCACATTGTTTTTTTTTAAATAATTAAACTTATTTTAGCTTCTAATAAAGAATGAACGATTATGTAAAAGTACGAGTGTAAAACGGGCATCTGCCCAACGCAGCCGCGGCCACCATAATATGTTAACACACGACCCCTATCACACCAAGAAAAAAACCCTGTCTTAGACGGCCACCTTTGTGACTCCATTATGTTTTGTCATAAATCATGCATTGGCCCTGGCGTTGTGGGCGAGCTGTCATAATCCAGTCACCTGTAGTTGTTGTTAGGTAGTCCCACCAACTGATCATGTTGCATAGGCCCCTCCCACTGTTGACCAATAAGTAACAAATTTTCAGCTGCTTGTGAGGTAAGCATGTGATCCCTCATAACTCGGCATAAGCCCCACCCAAAACTCATAAACAAATCGTAAGTGAGATGAGTGGTCACTGTTTACCCAGTCTGTAACAAAGTAACAATGGACGTCAACAGGAACTTGTGACAGAAGCGTCGCTCGTTCTCCGAGTGCTGGCGACCGGTTTGTTTGCTTTACCATAGCGCTCGGTCCTCCTTGTCTGACACATTTCGTTTTATTGTCACCCTTGCACAAAAGCAGAAACGAAAGAAGAAGAAGAAAAAAGAAAAAGAAGAGTGATTTCTATGTTGCCACCCCCCCTCTCTCTCTCTCACTCTCTCTCTTTCTCTCTCTCTCTCTCTCTCTCTCTCTCTCTCTCTCTCTCTCTCTCTAGAGCTCTCTCTCTCTAGAGCTCTCTCTCTCTCTCTCTCTCTCTGTCTGCTTTCTCTTTCACAATACGCTTGCTCTCTCTCCTGCACCTATCTTCAACAGCATGAAAACAAAAAGAACAGAAACAAATTTGTACCTCAGTACTACTACTTTATACTTCATCTATTTGCAAGGACAATTTTTGTTTATTTTGGTAGATAAAACAAACAAACATAAACACGTTTCAGTCACATCCAACAATTCTGTAAGAAAATTATACAAAATACAAATTATTACTAAACAACAGAACATCATCATCATCATCATCTAGTGCCAGATCAGCGACAGACATCGGCGAGCATGGTTCTCCATTCATTCCTTTTCTCGCATGCTCTTGAAAAAATCTACGTTTCCCTGATCTTTCCCCTGTTACCCATCTGTTTAGATTCCCTAAGTATGTTGCTCTGGGCCTAGCCCTGCCTCGTTTGCCTTCAGTTTTGCCAGAGAGAGCTAGGTGTTGAAGACATAATTTATGTCTATTCAGGTGTCCCAAAAACTGCGTGTTTCCTGATTATTTTTATCAGTGAGCGTCCCACGTGGGCTTCATCAAGCACTACCTCATTTGATTTCTTTTCCTTCCACGATATTCTCAGCAATCTCCTAAGAAATCACATTTCTGTTGCTTTTTTTCTTTAACAACAGAACATAGACAAGTAAATGATTTGTTTCATAAACATTCCTTGGAATTAGCTCTCATTTTCCTTTATATCGTGTTCACCTAGGCTATGTTTGGTGCGAAATTTCTTTTGACCTCTAAGTGAACGCAGTGACGTTGTGATGACGCGCATGGAAACGAAAAGTTCCTTAGACACCGCGTTATCAGAGAAAGGGGGTTGACGTCTCGGAAATTTTCCGACTGTCCTAAAAAAACAGCACAGAACATGAGGGAAATTGTACATATACAGTGTGGACAGTGTGGTAACCAGGTAGGCGGTCTGTGTTCGTCAAATTGTTGTAGGTATGTTCTAGAATAGTTGCTATTACGTCAGAAAACGAGTGTATGCGTCCGCCATTCTTCACCCTTGGTGGTACTTAATCCGAGTGCTTGTCCTCGTCCTCGTTGTTAGCACTTGGTTCTTTTTTTAAAATTCAAGCAAACTGCACGTTTGAAATGGGTTCTCATACTCTAGATCTACTCCACCTTTCTGTTTCTTTCTGTGTTTTTCTCGTACGCTTCCTGTATTATTGGTGTTACGTTGAATAGACGTAAGGAGGGTACCCGCCCACAGACCACGGAAAGCAACGGAACTGAAAGGGAGAGAAAGACTTAGGAGTTGTGGTCGACAATAAACTAACCTTCAAGGAGCACGTAGCCCAGATAACATCAAAAGCGAACCGTATTGTTGGACTTATTAGGCGATCGTTTGACTACCTTTCTGAGGATATGTTTGTTTTGCTCTACAAGGGTTTAGTGAGGCCGTTTTTAGAGTATGCACACTGTGTTTGGCAACCCTTTGAAAAAGGACTATGTCGTGAAATCGAACAAGTTCAAAGGCGGGCTACCAAAAAGCTGAGTCACCTCAAAGAAAAACCTTATTCTGAAAGACTGAAAAAACTAAAGCTTCCTTCCCTGGAACATCGTAGGTTACGTGGTGATATGATAGAAACGTACAAGTATATCAAAGGCTACTAAGATCTACATCACCGAAAGACCAGCGTTTACAAAGGCAACAACCACACAACTCCGTGGCAACTCAGAGAAGCTCCAGAAGCAAAGTAGCAGATTGTGTGTAAGGGCAAACTTTCTTGAGAATGCGGTTAATACTATTTGGAACATGCTTCCCGAATCAGTGGTGTCAGCTCCAAACGTGGACACATTTAAGAGACGTCTGGACGAATACTGGAAAGATCTCCAAACTGTTTACAACCCTACCTGCCGGAACTGATTTGTCTAGCCTGCACGCACTGCACTATTGTCATTGGATTGGATTGTCAGTCGACCAACAGTAACAGACACGAAAAGGCCTGTCTAAAGAAAACTAACTTTGGGAAAATACCGTTGTGCGCTAGAAACTTTACATTCACTGTCAACTTACTAGATCTAGTGGCGTATTGGACCTCTTGTTTGTGAAATGGAGATAATTTCAATCCCTTTAGCCCTGTCTTGGGGTTTTGTAGACCGTTAGACAAAACACAATACCAAACGATATCAGACTCGGAATAAGCACTTATTAACCAACGCCATGTCCTTCTATTTCTTCCTCCCATATTCGTAATGCTCAAACAGGCATACTGCTAGTTTCTTTCTCATTGTACACTGAAGATGTGAGTTTGATTCCCTTGAAAGGAACTTACATTTTATAGAGTCCCTCCGTTTTTTTAATGCGATACTGTGTGCCATTCCGTGTAAGTTAGTCCTGTGGGACATGGTTGGGGCATTCCGCTCCATTAGAGACCTAAGTTATGTTGATGGGGAAGTACAGCGTTTATAACGAGACCAGGGAGGAGCTAATGTCCATTTTCTCCGGGAGAGATCACGCCCACCTGTCGTAAATCCCAAACGAAAGCAAGACCATAAGATGGCCATCTACGTTTTCGTTTATAGGAGAGCGTTAAATCACACAATGCCAGGACACGCCAAAAGCTCCGCTGGAAGAGTGCTGGGCAATGGTGAAGGTATCCTTGGTTCAAATACTTTCGGGAGCGTTTTGGGGGTATTTTAGGAAGTTTTCTAGACTTGGTTCTATTTGAAATAGATGTAAAATATGTATAGATTCTATTTCGGAGTCCTGTATATTGCGAGAGAGTTAAAAGAGACGTTAAACCTATGCCATACCATGTCTTACTTCATAGCAGTGCAAGCTAAACTAAGTAAAATGGTGGAACCGAACCGTAAGCTCAATTAGTTTCACGCTCGAACTGCGGTGTGGGTGACTCTGGTTTCAGTTCCCAAATGTGGGTTCTGAACATTGGCTGTTTCGAGGATCTTTTTAGGCTCTCCACCCATCTTGCTCAGTCCAATCATAAATTGATCGTTATTTCGGGGGCTCTGTCCCGCCTCTTACACAACGTTGAAGTATTGAAAGGGGCACTAAAATGAACACTGGCGATGAACAATCAAAACCAAACCAAAGCACATCGACAACAATAAACAATGGCCCCACTTTTTCTGTTAATGTATCCTGAGATTGCGTAAAATTCTGAAAAATGGTTTCAGATGAGCATGCCATAGCATACGGTACTGTGCTATATATTCCCTAACAAAGCAAGCTAAGCTAAATAAATTCAAACCAAAGTACGTTGTCAGTACTAAACCTTCCTGATCTTGTGTCCTCAAATTCGCACCAAGTTTTGGAAAATGATATCAGACGAACATGGCATAGCATACCATACCGTGCCATATTCCATTACAAAGCAAGCTGGACCAAACACAATATGTAGATTCAAACCAAAGTAAGGTGTTCGCACTAAACAATCTCTCAACCGCCCTGTTAACCTTGCTGATCTTGTGTCCTCAGATCGGCGCCAAGTTCTGGGAAGTGATATCAGACGAGCATGGCATCGACCCCACAGGCACGTACCACGGCGACTCGGACCTGCAGTTGGAGCGCATCAATGTCTACTTCAACGAGGTGACGGGCGGCAAGTACGTGCCCCGGGCTGTGTTGGTGGACCTGGAGCCAGGCACCATGGACAGTGTCCGGTCAGGACCTTTTGGCCAGGTCAGTACACGCGACTAGCGCTGGTGCGGTCCCTGTTCAAGCACAGCCGATTTTTACGTGTAACGTTTTTGTACCAGTGCGAACGATATGATTATTTGGTTTCTTTGTCGCATGCGTTCAACAGCCGAGTTAGGAAATGTATTTTATCTGGTATATCTTTCTTTCTGTTGAGATGTTGTATCTATTTTAATGTTTTCTTAAATGGACGCCGCTCACCCCCCC